AATGAAAAGCTTTCAAAATACAGAGTTATTGCAGGCAAAATACATTTCCATCATTCTGCCTACTGGTACAGTGGTCCCAAAGATGTCTTTAGGGAGCTTATGGAGGATGAATATATGTACCACTACTTTTATTTAATTATTAAAATAAAAAAACCATGTAATTTACTCACCTGTGCACAGGTCTGCACAACATTAACTATCAATACTAGCATAGCAATGTGTACCAAGACTGTTTCTATCTCAGCTCAAGACTGATAATATGTTAAATAGTAATTATAACAACAAAAAATCACATGATTTATCTGGCACTTTATTATATATAAATTATCTCATTTGATCCATAGAGCTTTCAGTGGAAAAGGACTGCATAGATCATATAATTAAAATTGAAATCAAGCTAAATTAAGTTACGTGTATAAAGTCACATGTGTTTTAAATAATATTTTTACAGATGGGGAGACTGTGGTCCAGAAAGGTGGAAGTGACATCTAGATTATGTGACTAGTAAGGGGTAAATATACTAACAAACTGAGGTTTTTTACCTCCCATTCCATTTATCTTTCTGCTCTTTCAAAGTATGTCTCTCTTCCAACCAGTTGTCCATTTTATTTTGATCAGTATTAAGTAAAGGTAATGGTTTACCAAAGTAATTTGGACAGTGACTTTTAACCTTTAAAACCATTCCTAATTTATAGAATCTTTGTTTCCACTTACTATAAAGCCTCATATTATGAGCAGTAGTATTTGAGAGACAAGATGATATTTTCAAGTTAATAAAAACATACCCAATTTATATTTATTTGACTGTCCCTATAGTTTTAGAAGTCAGCAATGTCATATTTCTTTATTTGTTAGGTGACTTAATTATAAATCTTAGATCTTAAGTAAATTTGATTAGACATTGGTTCATATGAACAGAATAAATCCAGCAATATTGCTTGCTAAGAAATGGCAGTCCCTTAATGCCAATGCACTTTCATTTCGTATTACTCCACCTTCAGGAGCAGAGAGGAATCTTTACATAGTTGTAAGTTAAAAGTTAGCTGTTTAAGTAGCTGTGAGAGTTAAAACTATTTCTATAACCACTAAGAAAAAAACCTTCCCATATGCACAAGTAGCTTAGCAGTCAAAGCTATTAATGATTGCTCTGAAATGACAAATTAAATTTTCATGAAGTATTTCAACTCTACAATCTCTGCTGTCCTCTCAAATGTTTTTAAAACTCATTTCAAATGAAAGTCATTTAATGTTACTTAAATGTGTTTGACATTCATTGGGGAATTGGTAATTTTCCTTACAAAATGCTGCCTTTGTGAAAATTTCATATTACAGGGATATTTTAAATTGCTTTTAATAAATTTTGTTTTACTTTTTAATCCTTATTAAGTTCATGACTTATTAAGTGTTGTAAGTCTCTATATAAACAATCAACCTTTTCATCATCTAGTTCTCCATTCATGCTGTGCATTATCTTTTAGGTATTATATGCATGTATTTGCATGTTAAGAAGCTAACAGCCTGTGCCTGATTAAAAAGAACAGAAATTTATAAGCTAAAAAAATTTGGCTAATGGTTCTGATATACCCAAGATTTGATGAGTGTTAGTTCTTTTGGCATTGTCCACTAGAGTGCCAGACAGAGTGTTGCCATTAAATTATCACCCAATTTTTTCTTAAGAAAGGAGTGCTTAATGGATAGTATGATAAGTGGATAGAGTACCAGCCCTGGATTCAAGAGGACCTGAGTTAAAATCTGGCTTCAGACACATAACACTTGCTAGCTGTGTGACCCTGGGCAAGTCACTTAACCCCATTGCCCAACCCCCTCCCCAAAAAAAAGAGTATGTGTAGGGTGTTAAGCAGAAATATTTCTCTATGACTGCAAACATTAATTGCTTACTAGGTAGTAAGGTCCTGAAAGAAGTTTCCTTAACAGTATCAATATATTCAAATAAATTGATGTTTGAAACAACATAAAACAATCAACTTTTATAATAAATAAGATTTCTTAGATGTCAGTGTGGTTGAAGTTTCATGTAATTTTATGAATACCACATGTAAATATGTTCTCATTAATTAATTTAACTTACCTTAGCTACTTAATAGCCTAGTGGATGAGAACAGCTGGCATCTCATCTCCTGCTGTGCCTTTTCTTTGAGGTTAGAGGAATGGTGCCCTCCACTTACTAATGAACATTCTCACACCTGATAATACCCTGCAGATTCCAGTGCCAATGAACTCTTGTGGATTATCATTCAAATCCCAATCCATACCTCCTACCACCTGATCCCTCATTCCTGTCCCCCTCAGGGTTATTGTAAGATCTAATAAAATAATAATTGTAAAGCTCTGAGAATGGGGCCTGTCACATAGTAAGCGCTATATAAATGTGAGTTATTGCTGTTATCATCATCATCATCATCATCCTTCTCTAAATTCCTTACAGACTTCCCCCCATAATTCACTGTAACATAGCGTATCTTTACCTATCTCTGTTCCTATGTCTCCTGAACATATTTCTTTAGCTAATTTGATATTATTCATTTTGTTTCTCCCATGTTACTCTTTAACCTCAGGTAGTTTCTTTGTTGTCTGCCAGATTTTTTCAAACTTGAGAATTTAGTTTTGAAACACATTGTTTTTAAATGATCATCTTGTACTTAAAAGTTAAACTAATTTTTTTAAAAGACCTACCATTTTTACACAGCTATTATTTTGTTAGGTTTACTTTTTGAAAAATTTATTTAACATTGTGATCATAGAAGAAACTGCAGCCATCATATACTGGAAACTTCTCATTTTACAGATGAGAAAACCTCACTTATCCCCCCTTAATGCTAGTGTCTTCCATTTGAAATTACTTCAAATTAACCCTTTACATGTTTTGTGATGGACTTAGTTATTTATGTTGTTTACCTCATTAGACTGTAAGCTTCTTGAGGGAAGGGACTACTTTTCCTTTTGTGTCCCTAGAACGTAGCATTGTGCCTGACACATAGCAGTTGCTTATTGACTACTTTGAATCTCTTTTATGTACTATGAGGCTTAAAGAATTGAAAGTACTTGTCCAAGGCCAAATAGTGAGTCAGTAACAGTCCAGAACTAAAACCCAAATCATCTACATCTCAGTTAAATGCTCATTTTACTATACAGTGTGTTGACATTTCATGTAGAATAAACAGTAGAATACAGCAAGTTCAGGATTCTGGGTTTCTCAGGTAGTTCATTCCTTTCTATAATCTACAGTACTCTATATCTGTAGCTTTGATCTCACCATGAATACCATTCCCATTAACCAACCACCTTACAGATAATTTCTGTCTAAGTGTCTCATCAGCATTCACTTTAACCTCTCTCAGTCTTTGCTTTTCATACCCCCAAATCTGTCCTTCTAATATCACCATTTATACCTTAAATAGAAATTGGGTTCTACCCAAAACTGACTAGCATGTTCCTTGAGAGCTAGAAGCAACTTCATCAATCAGCCATGCCCTTCAGAGACTGCCTGACCTTAACAGGAGTTGGGCATTTACAGAAAAGAGGATCACCATTAATAATTAATTATTAATATAATAGTATAATGTCAATTTCTATCAGTATTTGAGGATTAGTTTTCCTTTAAAAAAATTTACATTGTGTTAGTCACTGATACCTAACTTTAAGGTGTCACACATAACTAGAACTTAAAAGGGAAGTTCTTTTTACTATTTATATATTTATAACTGAATTTTCTTTTTATTAGAATAACCATGGTGTTTAAAGTTGTAAGAGATCTCAGGAATCATCTAGAATGCCATCCCCTTCTGCTTTTTTTAAAATAAGGATACTGAAATCCAAAAATCTTAAAAAGTTTGACCAAAGTCACATGGGAGTAAAAAAGCCAAAATTCAAACCCAGATTTTCTCACTCCAAATCTAGTGATTTTTATATCATTGTTTTTTAGGAGGAGATTTACTTAGAAAAAAATTAATAATTGATATCTGTTAGAGGACATTTATGCTTTTAAAATTTTATTGTGCAAATTCCTTACTAATGTGTCCTATTTATTTCTGAATGCATACAGCATAATTTTTTTTGTTATCTATTTTTTACCTCATACTGTTATAATAAAAGGAGTAAGTTATACAGTATAGTTCCCAAAATAATTCATCAGGAAATATTACTTCTAAGTTCCTCTTGCTAATATTACTTTACTCAGGCTAGTAGTTTTCTTTTTTACTTTAACATTATAAAGGTTTAGCAGAGGAAATAACTGTGTAGTGTGGACATGACCAATAAAAGCAGGCAAGATAAACTCTTCAGAATATCCTTCTTGGTGACTAAGAATATGAACTATAACTATCAAAGAAAGGGGAAGAAGTTTTTCTGATATAAGCACTGACTATCTTGCCAGACTTAATTTAATTCAATACTTTACTCTTCTCACACCTCGCCTCTCCCATTTTCACCACTCTTTGCCCTTGCCATGTCAGTTCAGCCTGGATTGACTTGTCATTTTCTGCTCTAATATTTGTGACTGTTCTGGGCCTTAAAATCTCAGGATTCACACCTGCAAAGAATACATTAGATTTTTTTATCTTGGAAAAATAAATTTCAGCCACCTAGCTTTAAGTATATTGAAATTACTCGTCCACCTTTCTGTAATAAAGTCTATAATCTATGGGATTCTAAATTGAGTGATATAGTAAGAAATGTTCCTAGCATCTTCTTCAGTTCGTTCTCATCTATAGTGAGATAACAGATGCTGTCTTTTAATATCCACTGATTGTTTATCTCTTCTGATTCTGACAATAAAAATAAAGTGTTCTTTTGTTCAAACATGCTTTTTTTTTTGTGCATTAATTCAATTTAAACACATCTGGTCCTGTAATTATAAACTGCTTTTAGTTCCCACAAGGATCTGTTCGTAGCAATAATCAGATTTTCCAGGTTGTAAAAGCATTTCTAAATGTATTAATCTAACTTTTTTGTTCTCCCTTTTGTATTCTCCCTGCCCTTAGTGAAACTGTGGTCTACCAACCTGGACAATTCAGTGGCGAGTATTGAAGCCAAGGCAAATGTGTGTTGTGTCAAATTCAGCCCTTCTTCTAGGTACCATTTGGCTTTTGGCTGTGCGGGTGAGTAGTCTTAGATATCTCTGTAATTTTTGTACTGTTTGCAGTGGGTTGTGTGGTATGAGGACTGGTAAGTAGTAGGAGAAACAAAAAAATGTGCCTCATTACTTCTGAATCCTATTAAAAATACTGATAGATGCTATGCTAGATATACCTTATGCCTTTTTTTTTACATAGTTAAATGTGAATCAAGCTGTCTAACCACTGTTATTTAATACTTAGTTATATTAAAATTTATGTAACAAATGTGTAATAATTATGTTTAGAATACTTAAATGTTATTTTAGTTAAATTTATTTATTTTCTCTTGAAAATACTGCCACTGTATTCATAAGCATATACATATTACTTATTTTGTGTCTCCTTGGCTAATACCAGTCAAATAAGTGACTTATAAAGAAATTAAGAATATTTGAATTTGTATCATTAGATTGTAGAATTTATGATCTTCAGTAGAAGATCTAGGGATGTAAAAAACCTCAAAGATCTATTCTAACCTCAGCATTTTCTTGATGACAAAATTGAAGCTTAGAGAAAGTACCTTCTTCAAGTAACTGAGTTAGTCAAGGTGGTAAGTGGCAGAACAAGATTTCAAACTTGGAAATGGAGTAGTGGAAAAGAAAGAGCACAGAATAAAATGTCTAGTTTTTTTCAGTAAAAGAGCAGGCCAGGTCCTCTGCTAAAAGGAACAAGGGGGTTGTATAGGGACTTGTGAAGATAAGAGAAAATTAGGAATAGCCACTGTATTGAATATGAAAGATTAAATCAAGGGTTAGAACATAGTGATTGTCACATATCATCAGGGATCTGGTTCAGATGAAGTAATATCTTCATTCAACCTGAAGATTGGTCTCATTTGCCTTTGAATCTTCTCTTCTTCATGTTAAACATACCCATTTCCTTCAGTGATCCTTATATGATTTGGATAAATGCCTCTTCATTACTCTCATTACTTTTCTTTGAACACCGTCTGGCTTATCAATGCCTTTTTTCAATTTTGGTGTCCATACCCCAATGTAGTACTCAGCATAAGGTTTGATGAGTGCAGTGTATAGTGAAATTTGCCTCCCCTGTTCCTGAAAGCAGTCTTTCTGAATGTAGCCCAAGATCTTAGTAAAGTTTTTAGTTTCCACACTTCCAGATTGTTTCTAGAAGTACTGTTATCTAGCTATGTATCCCTCATCTTATAGTTCTGATGTTGTTGTTGGTGGTTGTAACAAAGTATAAGACTTTACATATTAATTGTCTTGATTTTATTCTTACTACATTTGTCCCAATGCTCTGTCCTGTCAAGATCCTTTTGTATTCAGACTCTATCATCTATTGTTTTATCTGTCGCTTGCATTTGTATGTATGTGTCTGTGTGTGTGTATGTGATCACTAGCTTCATATTTTTTTTTGCACAAGAATAGTGAAAAAACGATCAAAAGTGTTTTCAAATGGCTAGGTAAATTGTACCTACAGAGTTTGTGTCTTTTGCTAATTCAGTTACCCTGCCCAAAAAAAAAGTGAGACTAGGAGAAGCAGAGTAGACAAAGACTATGCTAAGTGGTAAAAGAGGCACAAAAATCCAGTGAAGATAAGAATGCCTTAAAAAGCAGAAGGATATACAAAAATTCACTGAAGAAAAGGACTCCTTAAAAAATAGAATTGGCCAAGTGGAAAAGGAGATACAAAAGTTCACTAAAGAAAATAATACCATAAAAATTAGAGTTGGGCAAGTGGAAGTTAATAACTCTATGAGACATCAAGAAACAATAAAACAAAATCAAAAGAATGAAAAAAATAGAAGAAAACATGAAATATCTCATTGATAAAACAGCTGATCTGGAAAATAGGAAAGATAATTTAAGAAATGTTGGAGTACCTGAAAGCCATGATGAAATGTCTAGTTTTTTTCAGTAAAAGACTAGGCCAGCGTTAGGTAGCATTTAGTGAAATGTGCTTTCCAAAACAAAGGAGGCAGCGTCTTGTGCTCTTTTTACTGATTAGACTACATTTGGGTGTCCAGATAGGCACTTAGAACACAAACCCTAGGGATTAGGTTTGAAATCATATACTATAAAAATAATTGGAGTACATTTAGAATACTTATCGTATCCAAGAGAATTTGGTATGACATGATTGTCATCTTTACATTTAAATGATTGTTATATGAAAAAGAAATTCTGTTTGTTTCATTTGACCCAAAAGGAGAAAGTTGTAACCAAATGTGGAACTTTCAGAGGGACAGGTTTCATCTTTTAAAAAAAAAGTTATTTCTTTCATTAAACATTTCCCAATTACATGTAAAATTTTTTTTTAAAATTTTTATTTTATTTAACATGTGTTTTTATAACTTTGGGTTCTCCCTTCCTCCCTCCCCACCCACCCTCATTGAAAAGGCAAGCATCTCGATACAGGTTATAGATGTGGTCATGTAAAACACTTCCATAGTAGTCATGTTGTAAAAAACTAAGTATATTTCCCTTCATCCTATCCTCCTCCCCATTTATTCTATTCTCTCTTTTGACCCTATCCCTCCTCAGAAGTGTTTGCTTCTGATTATCCCCTCCCCCAATCTGCCCTCCCCTCTATCAACCTCTGCTCTCTTGTCCCCTGCCCCCCTTATTTTCCTGTAGGGTAAGATAGATTTCCATACCCCATTGTGTGTGTTATTCCCTACTTAAACCAAATCCTATGAGAATGAGATTCAGTCATTCCCTCTCACCTTCCCCCATTTCTCCTCCACTGTGAAAGCCTTTTCTTGTGTGTTTCATGTGAGATAATTTACCCCATTCTACTTCTCCCTTTCTCCTTCTCCCAGTATAATCCTCTCTCACCCCTTAATTTTATTTTCCAGATATCACCCCTTCATCTTCAACTCACCCTGTGCCCTCTATCTATCTATCTATCTATCTATCTATCTATCTATCTATCTATCTATCTATCTATCTATTCATACATATAATTTTTTTCCCTCCCAGTACCCTAATACTGACAAAAGACTCATGAGTTACAAATATCATCTTTCCATGCAGGAATGTAAACAGTTCAACCTTAATAAGTCTCTTATGATTTCTCTTTCCTGTTTACCTCTTCTATGTTCCACTTGAGTCTTATATTTGAAGGTCAGATTTTATATTTAGCTCTGGTCTTTTCCTCAGGAATGCTTGAAAGTCCCCTGTTTCATTGAATGACCATTTTTTACCTGGAAAGATTATACTCAGTTTTGCTGAGTAGGTGATTCTTGGGTGTGATCCTATCTTCTTTGCCCTCTGGAATATTATATTCCATGCCTTGCGGTCCCTTAATGTAGAAGCTACTAAATCTTGTGTTATCCTGATTATGTTTCCACAATTATTGAATTGTTTCTTTTTGGCTGCCTGCAGTATTTTCTCCTTGACCTAGGAATTCTGGAATTTGGCTACAATATTCCTAGGAGTTTTCCTTTGGGGATCTCTTTTGGGAGGTGATCGGTGGATTCTTTCAATTTTTATTTTGCCCTCTAGTTCTAAAATATCAGGGCAGTTTTCCTTGATAATTTCGTGAAAGATGATGTCTAGGCTCTTTTTTTGATCATGGCTTTCAGATAGTCCAATAATTTTTAAGTTCACTTTCCTGGATCTATTTTTCAGGTCAGTTCTTTTTCCAATGAGATATTTCACATTCTCTTCTATTTTTTCATTCTTTTGGATTAGTATTACAGTGCCTTGATTTTTCAAATTGTCACTAGCTTCCAATTGCTCCATTCCAATTTTTAAGGAAGTATTTTCTTCAGTAATCTTTTGGACTTCCTTTTCCATTTGGCCAATTTTGCTTTTTGGGGCATTTTTCTCCTCATTGGCTTTTTGGACGTCTTTTGCCATTTGGGTTAGGCTATTTTTTAAGGTGTTATTTTCTTCAGTTTTTTTTGGATCTCCTTTAGCATCACTCTCCATTTTTCCTCTACTTCTCTTACTTGCTTCTCAAAATCCTTTTTGAGCTCTTCCATAGCCTGGGACCACTTCATATTTTTCCTGGAGGCTTTGGATGTAGGAGCTTTGGCTTCCTTGTCTTCTTCTGGTTGTATGTTTTGATCTTCTTTGTCGCCAAAGAAAGATAATATAGTCTGACTCTTTTTGAGCTGCTTGCTCATGATACTGGCCAATTACTTGAGTTATAAACTCTTTGTTAAGGTAAGGGTCTATTTCCAGCACTCCTCCTCGCCCCAGGTTGGCCACCCAGAACTGTGACCCAAATCCAAGCACCGGCAAAGCAAGAGAATCCTGCACCAGCAGAGAGGTTCCTGCAGTCCCCCTCTGATCAGCCACTTGATTCCCCCTCAGTCTGTGGGCCGGAAGCTCAGGTGGCAGCCGCCACACCGGGGCCACACTCGGGGAATGGGGCTGGGACCCTGCACTCCTCACTCTCTCTCTCTCTCTCACCACAGAAACAAACTTTTCCCACTGACCTTCTAAGTTGTCTTTGGCGTTCATGGGTTGAGAAGTCTGGAAACCGCCACAGCTACCTGCAGTTCAGTCCTCTGAGGTCTGCTGTAGGTTCACTGCGGCCTGAGCGCCCATGTCAAACTGTGTTCCTCTCCCAGCCCAGTGTGATATACCTTTTTGATCAACCATCCAGGTTGTTTTGGGCTGGAAGTTTGTTTCACTTTGTCTTTTTGTGGTTCTGTTGCTTTAGAATTTGTTTAGAGCTATTTTTTATAGATATTTGGAGGGCTTTGGGAGAGAGCTCAAGCAGATCACTGCTTTTAGTCTGCCATCTTGGCTCTGCCCCCATGTAAAAGTTTTTTAGCAATCATTTTTCAAAATTTTGAATTTTAAATATTCTCTCACCCTTCTACTCTTCCTTGAGAAGGTAAGTAATTTGATATTGATTATACATGTGCAATCATGCAAAGCATTTCCTTATTAGCCACAATACAAAGGGAAACATAAACAAAATAAAATAATAAAAATAAAGTAAGAAATTATTGTACAATCTACATTCAGAGTTCATCAGTTCTGTTCCTTTAGGCGGATAGC